CACTTCTTTTTTTTTAATTGACATTTTCGTTTGAATGAACTACGAATTCGTATTAGCCACTCAATTAGCCACTTAACTGACAAAACGTAAAATAATTAAATTTTCTCGTGAGATTAGGCTGGTTAAAACTGTATGTGTTCAGTTAATTTGCTGAACTAGAATTACCAAAACTGAAACTAAATATATTAAAACTAAACAGAAATGTTTTCACAAAATAGACTAAACTACAAAGTACAGCAAGTTTAAAATAGTATCAAAATAAAAACTTATTTAAAAATGCTAAACTATATTTAAACTTGGTTTGGTGAAGGCTGAGTAAATAAAGACTTATTTATATATTTTTATAAAGAAAATATATTCCTTTAAGGCTGTTTGTTGTTTTGTCACTAGTTATTGTGACATCAAATATGTAAAGAAAAGATTAATGCATTAATAACATTTCTTTTATATTCTGCACATAACACATATATAAATCAGTACTATAAACAATTAAAACATGTTTGCTCTAACAAATTTGAAGGTGAAGGTCATTCCTACTGATGTAAGCCACCTTGAAAATTTCCAGCAGCTTCTGAGAAGCATTTACGAGCATTGCTATTCATTGCAGCAGTCAATAAGGTAAAAATAGCTCCATTTCCTTTCCTTGCTTAGTTAAAGAACCCTTTATTTAAGGAGACAGGAACGGGGATTTGAGATTGTAAGATAAGTATGAGGTTGTAAGATATAGAAAGGTTTTTACATATTGTAATATACACAAATATAAAGTACACCGTCTTTTGTTGCATCAGAGATTATGTTTCGTGGATATTTTTGTCTCTAGACTGCAGCGGTTTCTACCAGTATCATTAATAATTCAAGTAGTGTTTAGATTTGGCTTTTGTTTAGTTTTTCACGGGGGTTATATTTCTCAGCTCTTTGAACCTTAGCTGTTCAAGGTCACAGCAATAATTCTTTTTACTTCAAGAAGAATAAACTGTGAATTAGAATATAAGAGATAACTAAGTACCATTGTCACAGCATACATTTATGCACCATATTTATATTTTACTTTGCTATATCCATATTTCAAAATGCTTGAAACTTTCATTGTTTAAAGTCAACAATCAAAATGTACTTTTTGTATTTTTATATGTAGACTATAAAAAATGCTGGGTTCTAATTCCTTCATTTCGTCCTAACACAAATCTATTAAGTTAAATTAATTTTACAAATAAATAAGAGGACTGAACATAAAACAATTAAGTTGTCCACCAAAAAAAAAAAATCAAGAATTGTGTTGTTTCGGCTCATTTTAAATACGTAGTTTGAACAGGGACAAACTTAATGTCTGGGGCAACACAGTTGCCTCACAGCTAGAAGGTCACTGCTGCTCGTCCCAGCTAGACCAGGAGACCATTCTGTGTGGAGTTTGCATGTTGGCCCCGTGTGTGGGTTTCCTTTGGGTGCTCCAGTTTCTCCCGCAAACTAAGCCGAAGAAAAGTGAGTGAGTGAATTTACTTTTGTTTCATACTGAACTTATTGGTGCAATATTTGAAAAAAAAAAAAAAACACATTGCCAGATTAACAGAGGCCAGTAAAGTGCTGTGCAGATAAACCTCACTCTTCTAAACCGTAAAAGGTTCTCTAGCGACAGACCCTAGAGGCCATGGTCTTTAGCCTCTTTGTTAGAGCGACCGACTTTCATGTGGAAAGTCACCGGTTTGATCCCAGCTCAGAGCGTGTAGGGCCAACAGGGTTACATTGGTGCTGTGACCTGGATGGGAGTGAGGTTTAGGGTGATGAGTGTAACAGAGGCCAGTTAGTAAAGTGCTTTGCATGTAAACCTAACTCCTTTGAACCCAAAAAGGTGCTCTAGGGACAAACACTAGAGGGTATAGCCTTTAGCCTGCTTGTTAGAACAGGTTTGGGTGGAGTAGAACTGGCAGGGTTACACTGGGCTGGGTACTAAAACACGCTTTTAGCCAATCAGCAGTGAAGGTCATGTCTAGTAATAATTTTAATATTTTCTTACATTTATATAGGGCTTTTCTGGACTAAAGTGCTTTACACATTTTTGGGCGAGTCTCCTCATCCACCACCAGTGTGCAGCATCCACCTGGATGACACAACAACATCCATATTGCGCCAGACCGCACACCACTCACTAACTGATTGGTGGAGAGGACACAGAGTGATGAAGCCAATTATGATATAAGATATATAAATTTTGCCAGGGTTAAACCATTACTCTTTTTCAAAGGGCATCCTGGGATGTTTAGCGACAGCAGAGTTAGGACCTCGGTTTAACTTTTCATCCAAAAGACAGTGCTTACTGAGCAGTATAGAGTCCCCATCAATAAAGAACAAGTCCTTTATTACAATACCTATGAAAATAAATATGACTGAAAAGGCAAAGTGATTTTATGAATAATTTCCACATTAAAACATGAATCACCAATTAAAAGCATATTTTTAAAGAAACTCATAAACATCAGTTTTTAAATTCTTTAAAACAAAACAACTGGTAAAACATAAAACTATAGGTATTGTAAACTAAACATTTAAGGCATTTTAATTAAATGTTTGGTAAGTATTTTTGATACTGTTCTGCAGAGTTTAGCTCCAACTCTAATCGAACACACCTGCCTATAGCTTTCTAGTAATCTTGAAGACACTCATTAGCATGCTAACATGTGTCTGGAGAAAAACTCTGCAGGACACTGGCCCTCCAGGATTGAATTTGCCCATGCCTGCTAAATATTATCTCTCATAGACCTCTGCACATTTTAAGAGACCCATTTAACTTCTGATTAATTCCTCAACTTCCTCACACATACCAAATTTTAAGCGGTATATACCAACAGATTTGCTAGATTACACTAGTTGACACCTGACTCTTATGTAAGATAACAATAATAATGGATATTCAGCTAGAAAAATATTGGAATTATCAGGTTTACCCTCCAATTCCAAACATTTGATAATAAGCTATACTGTTACAGGAGATTAACCTTGTAAACTATGGGTGCCGTTCAGTGACTAAAACTGTTCATCAAGTCTGCAGCTATACAGTGTGTTCTCTGCTGGATCAGTTGCACAATTACTACCATTTTCAAAGCATACCAAGGCAAGACAATATACAGGCCTGAAATGATCTTATTCACAACACAGTGAATGAAACAACTGTATTGCTTTATGATTGTGCTCAGGGAAGTAGCTGCTGTTTGGATGTTGCTATACTGTGAAGGCTGTAGGAACCCATATTTGAACCTATTCCAGCAGTGACATCTTTTGACACTGAGGAAAATTGAGGGACAGAAACTTAACTAATGTAAAAAGATTCAACGCTCACCGATGCTTCAAAACGAAAGAAGATGCATTAAGAACTATAAGCAAATATATTTTTATCCCCCATTTCAATACTGGCCATCAGAACCAACAGAAGATACCAAATTTTCACTTGATTCTACTCAATTGGTGCACTTTAATTATTAATGATGTTTTTTTGTTATTTGTGTTTACAAATATAAAAACAGATTAATAAAACCACAGCATACAACAAGTGGACTTAATATACATTTTTATTGCAGAACAATAATACATTTTATATGCAGACAAACTCTTTGGCTGAATCAGGAATGTTTAGTCCTGGTGTGTCCTGTTAAATTCATGCCAACCTGTACCTAAGCAATCACTTAAACCAATAAAGTATCTTTGGTGTACACTACTGAACACTGGCCTTCTATGAGCAATGCTGTCCAAATACAGAATGATGTATTGATGTTCGGTTGAGTAGAGACCTGGTTACTACAGTGGCCATAGCATACATACATAGCATTGCAGGTTCTCCTCTACATCACAGTGGTGTTTTCATTACTCAAAAACCTTGGAAAGAACCTTCTGTCAGTGTGAATCCAGGTCTGACATTTCTCTGCTGTGATTGGGCTTAATATCACAGTAATGTCAAATATGAAAACATTGTCTGTATAAGTGGTACATGGGGAAAAAAAAGATAAATATGAAATAAGGATGAATAAAGATGAAATCTATAGATAATGTAGTCCAGTTGGTCACCTTCTGTGGTACTTTCATCATCTAAACATGTAATATTGTACATCAGTTTCCACACATCAAGAGTAATGCAGCAGTAATGTGTTATTTTGAGTGTTTGTATCAGTTGATAATAACATCATGTTTAGTAAATTAATACGCATTTATTTCAAATTTAATGTTTGAGTTGCATTTTGAAATGGGATTAATTCGATGTTTAATTGTGTTATATTGAAAAGGTGATCTTAGTTCAGGGAACAAAGTATCTTTGACTTGTTTGTGTTGTATCCAAGGATTTGAAAAAAAGAGTTAAGAGTTTTGCAAAAACATACAATTTTGGCAAAGGTTGTGAATTTTGTGTCTAGAGTTTTAAAAATTGACACCAGAGTTCTGAAATTTGTGACAAAACAATTGTAAAAAACTGTAACAGTCATAATCATCATAATGCCTTGAAAGTTAATTCCTTTTAATATCCAGATTTTTTATGTACATTTTTAAAGCTATACTTTGTGTTATATATTTGCATCAAATTACAAAAACTTAATTACCGCTTATGTGATGTGTTTCTAATAAAGAATCTATGGTAAAATTTTATGTTGTTTTCTATATTGGCTGTCGTTATCAGTCTCACACAATGTTTTTCTTTTTTTTGTAAGCTGTGAAAACATTACTTTAACAACGTTTTTCTTTTATTATTTGAGCACAAAGGAATACAAAGCAAAAATTGTAGTACTCTCCCATTTGCTGCACAACTTCCACTGTGGAGAAATGTGAAAAGGGTCTATAAGCCAGTGTTCTTCAAATCAACCTATGGAGGGCCAGTGCTGCTTAAAATTAAACTCCAGCCCTAATCAAATACACGTGAGCAAGCTGCAATAACCATGAAGTGCATACCAAATCACATACTTATTCGCTATTCTACACCCTTTTGTAGTATAAATAGTGCGTTAACACTGAAAACTCTAAAAAGAATAAGTGCACTTTAAATACCAGGATGATCAACCGCTAAAATGAAGTGTGGAGTGATACTTCACACACTCAACGGCCACTGTTTTGCTCATGTAGCAGAAGGGCACTGATGTAGAATTACTTTATTTATTTTGGATTGTGAAAGCAAAAAACACGAGTGATTATAGCGCCTCCCAATGGTAAATGCAGCTATAGTCTTGGCAGGTATTATTTGGTAGTTTGGACATTTATTTTATTAATTTGGCAACCGACCAACGTCATCTGGAAAACGGTTTGAATTTTCACTTAGTAAAAAAAACATTAGTGTTCCATTTGGCACAACACTATATTCATAAACTATGCTGTTGACTGTGTAAGTGCATAAGTACATAGTGGATAAGAGCATGATCAAGATTTGAGCTGAATTTAGCAGGGTAATGGCCCTCCAGTGGCAGATATGAGAACCTGTCAAAGCATAAACTTTATTACACAGACCAACTCTTGATATTTCTCAATCAAAAGGCTGTATAAAGGACACCACAAAGCACTCTTTGACATATTGTCAGGAGCCGATGGTTGGCTGTTAGGCTTTCATTCCATTGGTCAGGCTAGTTGGTTTGGTGAGACCACACGTCGGGTTAATATCTGAGCTCATCGGCCTGATTCAATATGTCGAATTGATGTCAGCCATTGGCTAAAGCAAGCTGGTTATTCGGCAACAAATCAGAGCATGAGTGTAACATTAAAGTGACGTTGCAAGTAGACAATTCAAGACAAGAAGGAACACAAAGAGGCAGACTATAATTTCGTTACATTTCTCAAATACTTGCAATCAATATGGATTACCAAATTATCAGACATATTTGCAAAATCAAATCCCTCCATGGTGAATGAAATTACTATGATGAGAGTACTGAATGTTAATTCATGCTTTGCACTTGTAGAAAGACAGAACCAGATGTGAGCCGACACAAGGCTACAACACAGTTGGGTTTTGTCAGTGCTAGTTGTTTAAAGTCGGTTTGGTGTGTACCAGCCTTAAGCATAAAGCCATGTTGGCCAATCAAAAGTCTGTAAAAAGGAAATAGTGATAATCACTTCGTATCTCTATAAAAAACATTATAGATTTCTAAGTGTGCTTCACACAGATAAATGGGTTTGACAAACCACCTGTAGAAAGAATCTTCTCTCTTTATGTACTGGCCACAATACTTAAACTCCATCTTTCAAAAACTTCAAAAGGATAACAATGTTCATTTGTGAATGTACCACAAATCATGTTGCACAACTTGTTTTCTTTATTTTTGTACAATATCTTGCACAGTATTTGTGTGCCTAATGTAAAATTACTTGTATAGTCGGTCTTAGGTTATGCGTGTAAGTATTTATAGTATTTCTATAGTTAGTAGTTAGTATAGTGAGATTACCTCTCCAGTATGTTAGTTATGTAAAGGTTTAAAATAGATTTCAACAATAAAGATTAGTAAACATTATTGCATTTCCATCAACAGTGACAAATAGCCATTACAGTTTTATTTATTGCAGTATGTTAATGTTAATAAAACAACTGAATTTTACTTGTTATTAACAATAAAATGACAATGTTTTTATTTTAATACATTATTAGACATTAGCTAAGAAATTAAAAAGTTCAAAAATGAAAGTTACCTCATAATTTATTCTCCTTCATTTGGTTTTAAACCATTATGGTTTCTTTTTTCTTGTTCAACACAAAATACTGATTACAAAACTACAAAAAAAAAAAAAAAATAGAGCATATTGTCACTGGTATTGTACATTTGGCATTTGTCAATAATTGTCTGTTTATCTCATATAAGTTTTACTTTAAGGAATTTGAACACTGTAAAGCTCAATATCTCAAAACCATGCAGGTAGGTAGGTAGAGCCTTATAATTTAAAGTATAATTCCAGTTTTGTTTTTTTTGCCAAAAAAAGTTTAGTTGTAAGTAAATAAGAAAATGCAAAATGTCTACACTTCTTTTTGGAGAACCACATTTTGTCCATTTAGAAAGTCTTAATAAGTTACCCAATTAATTGTCTGTAAATCTTATGCTGAGTAGAGAGCTGAATTTGAGCAGAGCCTACTCATTTAGTCCTGTCAAACATTATCAACATTAAGAAGAACATATATACTGTAAGCAGCAGCCACTGCGCTGTACCCGCATAAGATATTATCCATAACTGCCTACAGCCCTTCAGCCTGGGGTCGAGCCTTCTTCAAGGACAGGAATCCAATTTTGTACACCATTATCGATCACGTCTGAATGCAGGTGAATTTGTAAGTTTTGCAGCAATGTGGGTCCCCAAAACTAAAGCTAATGGAATACCACAGACAGTTTTTATCCATTGTATAACATTAACAGAAATTCAAATAATAGAATGATATTTTAGTCTAAGTGCTTACGACTGACTTACGGATCTTGCTGTTTAATGCTGAGGATGTCTCTAGCCTATAAGATTCATAAGGACTTCTCTAGGAAGGACACAATCTCTTCATAATACAGCATTCTGTTTGAAAAACATCGGTTGAACTGATTGGCTGTTGCTCTTCCTTTAAATGGGACAAGTGGCATCAGAATGTCCAGAAATTCCCTTAATTTTTTCCTATCTGTATCTTCAGTCAGAATATGATGTTTAATATAGGATAATGACTTTGTTAATATTAAAGTACTAGTCACTTTTTTTGGGGTTTTCTTGGGTTAATGGACACATCGGACTGTATATGTTAATGGATGGTCTTCATAGCAAAAGTTGACAACTCCTGTATCAAAATCCACATCTTCATCCATCTCTTCATCCTCCAAGCAGTGGATATGCCCATGTATTGCACTGTCTCCACTATTTCTCTGTTGTCTCATTACAAACTTCTTGTTGTTGTTGTTTCTCACTGAGGCCTCAAGAGCTTTCTGTTTGCGATAAAAATGTGAAAACTTGTTGAAAATGATGGTGATGGGCAACGCCACAACTAATGTGCCACCAAGGATGCAGCCAGATGCTGCTAGCTTTCCCGCCACTGTCACTGGCACCACATCTCCATATCCCACTGTTGTCATGCTAACTGTCCCCCACCACCAGCAAGCTGGGATCGTGTCCAAACCAACATCTTCCTCATTTTCTGCAGTGTAAGCCATTCCGGAGAACACAGATACACCCACTGCCAGGTAGAGCAATAAGATCCCAACCTCTCTGTAGCTGTGCTACATAAAGAAACAAAAGACATGTGGATTTTATATTAAATGAAAGTAGAAAAACATGCACTTGATATCACAATTCATTTGCATTGTTGTTATACCTAGATAGAAATGTCAATTTTACAGAATCAAAAGACAAGTTACAAAAAAAAAAGTGTTCTGGTTCTGGTTTCTTCAGTATTTTTGAGTATTATAGGGCAATTGTGTTAAATAAACCATAATAAAAAGGTACTGTTTGTCAAGTTCTATTCTATATGACAGTGGTTTTCAGTTGTGATTCTGGGGAACCAAGGCACTGCACATTGTATGTTCTGTTTTTTAACTGATTCAGTATTTTTAACCTTGAGCACCCATCATAGAGTACCATTTCTAGTCGCCAAGTGCAACACGGGCTGCAGGGGTGCCAATGAGCACACCTGCTCCACCCATCCTCACGGAGAGTAAAATTATTAATCTCAGCTGATGCTCAAAGATGAACACAATCTCTGAGAACTCAAATAGTTTTGCTAAACTTGCACTGAATAACACCCCTGATTCCACAACTATCTACGAAGCGAGGCGTGAACTGGCAATTTTGGTATACTAAACACTAGCCGCGTTTCCACTATCGTGCCTAAAGCGAGCGAGCCAAGGCCAGTCGCGTTCCAACTGTCACTTCCGGGGCCTAATCGGGCCAAATCAGGGCTTTCTTGGGGCCAGAGGCTGGCCTTTTTCGGCCCGCCGAATACCTTGGGCCAAAGAGGGCCAGCCGTGGCTTCGGGGCAGAGTGAAAGGAGAGGCGGGGACAGTTTTCCGATTCGCACACGAGTACATGCGCCAAACACATAACAAATAAATAAATAAGGGAAAGAAAATATCTGGAACAAATTATAGGCTGGGGTCTTTTTGCATATCATCGCCCGTATGTTTCTCTTTTAAATGTAAGGCTGTTGCATAAAATAATAAAGTAGTTTTGATTTATAAGTGACTTTTCTTTGCTGCATCCTCCTTGATGTTTCAATAACGCTTAATAATCTTTACATCATATTAAAGACACAGCAGACAGTAAAGGTTTTTAAGAGGTTTTGTCAAGTTTAATAGGTGTGTTTGTGCGCGTTTAGATGCCTGTATGTGAATGTGAGACTGAGGAAAAGAGCACTCCCTTCACAGCTCTATTGATGCCACGAGCAGCTTTTTAAAATTTTTTTATTTTGGAGATAATACACAATATGAATACGACAGAAAGACATTAAACTTCAAATTTCCTGTCCACTTTTGTAGGCTCAAAACAATAGTGTCATATCTAGATAAAACAGCCCTATATTGAAATAGTTTAAAGAATTACAAATATAAGATATAATAAAATCACATTAAATAAATAAACCAATATAAAACTAACAAAAGCTATAGCTATAGCAATTAGGTACTATATCAAACTGTTTCAAAGCTATATTAAACTTTCATTTTTCAAAAGCCTCTTTGAAAAAAAACATTTTAGATATTTTCTAAAAAAATAAATAAATAAACACCGGAGAATGTTTTAAATATTATTTATAAAGTATTTGGATACGATGAAATTAATCAAATCATGCAAACAGAGCATTCTCGGGGTGAGTGAAAGCAGACACTAGGCGACCTTTTTTTCTGTCTTCCAGCTGCGCAGCACTTTTTTGACGCATCGGGGAAAACTGCAAGTTCAAAATGTGTTCTGTGTCCTCAAACAAGTGTGTATGTTCTTATATAACGTGGTAAAATTAAAAAAGAAATTTTAAATACATAAAGAGCTTTATTAGTGCATAGCTGCTGAGCGCAACGAAATATAGGCAATATTTCATTACGTGCTGCTATGTGCTGAAACACTGAACACTTTCCTTAACTTAAGATATAATAAGCAACATCTTTAAATAAAGGTAATCACCTACCCAGATAGCAAAATATACTCGGGCCAGTTCCGGCTAGATTGTCGCCTGCCGGAGACTAACCCCTCGGCCCAACTTCGGCTGCCGGACTCGGGCCGGATGCCTGTGGACTCACTGCCCGATTCCGGCCCGAATCAAGCGGGCCAGATGCGGCGGCCGTAAGCGAGCCGACGCTGCGCATCCGCGCCGGAATCGGCGCGAGGGTAATGTGCGCTGCGGCCCGGAGCTGGCGCGACTCCGTATTTATACACCTTATAAAACCTTTTGGTATTACATTGGTACTTGATATATGGTATTACAACCATTTGAATTTATATAACAGCAAACACAGGCTATAATGTAAACACAAAGTGTAAGCACTGCGTTTAACCTTTGAATAAAGTGCAAACTGCATACATATTCTGTAACGAAAATAATCAAGACAAATGACAAAATAAATAAATGTTAAACGTTTATTGATTGCATGAAAAAAATAGTACTAAAATTTTATAAATAATTTTGTAGTGCACAAGAATATCAATATAAAAACAACAATAAAACAACACAATAAAGACACACAGAAAGATTTAAACAAAAAATCTAAAAATTTCACACAAACACAGATGTTTTTTAAAACAACCCTGTTTTCCCAATAGACTTGAATTAAAAATTTGTAAAAAACAGCTAAATTTTATATAAACCTAAATATAGAAACCAATTTAAGATATAGCAAGAAACATCTTAAAAATACCAATGACAATCCGTAAAATATCCAAGTAAAACTTGTAAAAAGTACTGCAGAATTCTGAAGAAACATCTTGAAACATTTTTTAATAAAACATTAAAATAATAATAAACAAACAAATATATATATATATATATATATATATATATATATATATATATATATATAAATAATTGCAGAACAAAATCAATTGCACAAACAGCAAGACATGAGTGAGATGATTATAAATTTCATATATATACACGTCTTGTGCAATTTTATATTTATAATTTTATTTGTATTACGTTTATTAAAAATGTATCAAGATGTTTCTTTACAATTTGGCGCACACACATACATACATACATACCATACATATATACACACACACACACACACACACACACACACACACATATATATACATATACATATATATAAATGCAAATGAAAGAAACAAATTGTTCAAGTATCAGGGAACATCCTAATACACTTAAAATGTTGTTTAAAAAATAAAACAAAATAGTGATGTAGACATTTGACACATTAGCTTTCTCTTCTTTCTTCCTCCATCCCTGTCAGGGGCAAGTTGTAGCTACCTTGTAATGCATTTTTCCACTTCTTTATCAGTGGCGTGGTATGGACATTTGTCCTCACTCCATCTGTGATTAAAAGATAAACAGATAATTAGTAGTGAACAAGTACTAATGTAAAAAAAAAAAAGAAAAAATTAGGAAAAAAGTAGGCTACCTACGAAGCAAAAAAAAAAACTATAAAAAAAACAAATAAACTTAAAACACTTTGAAATTAGCAAGAGCTTGAACTTACCAGTTTCTTCATTTGTTCGGGCTGCTCCTTTAGTTGATTTTCAAGCTTTTCCAAATCAAATTGGCCAAAGGAAGGTCAAATGTGTTTACATCTGGAATTTCATCACGTCTGTTTTGGTTTTGTGAGAATCAGGCCCAGCTGCTGCTTTATGACGTTGCATGATTTTAAAACTTCAGTCAGTCGTGCTAAAAAAGAAAAATAACAGATTAGTATAAATCAACCTGTAGCTTATTCTCATTCAACTTATGTAAATACAACAGTGGGTTAGACACTGCTGATATTCTCTAGTTGATCTTTACTTTCTAGCTGCATTAAACCTTAACAAATTTAGTGATGTCTTACAAAGACATCACGAGATGCAATAAGTTCTGTCTTGATCTCAAACTGCACTAGAACAAAGACTGTAAATGTTCATAGGTGTACTGCAGGAGTGTCCAAACTTTTTGGGCCGAGGGCCAGATGCAAAAAAAACAAACGTTGTCGCGGGCCAAATTTTACATACATCACACAGACATATATATATGTCTGATATGACATGATATATATATACATGATATATATATATGACATGATATATATATACAGTTGAAGTCAGAATTGTTAGCCCCCCTAAATTATTAGCCACCGTTTATTTTTTCCCCAATTTCTGTTTAACGGAGAGTTAAACATTTTTTCCACACATGTCTAAACATATTAGTTTTAGTAACTCATTTCTAATAACTGATTTATTTTATCTTTGCCATGATGACAGTAAATAATATTTGACTAGATATTTTTAAGACACTTCTATACAGCTTAAAGTGACATTTAAAGGCTTAACTAGGTTAATCAAGTTAACTAGTCAAGTTAAAGTAATTAGGCAAGTTATTTTATAACAATGGTTTGTTCTGAAGACCTAAGGGGCTAATAATTTTGACCTTAAAATGGTTCATAAAAAAAATTAAACCGCTTTTTATTCTAGCCGAAATAAAACATAAGTCTTTCTCCAAAAGAAAAAATATTATCAGACATACTGTAAAAATGTTCTTGCTCTGTTAAACATCATTTGGGAAATATTTAAAAAAGAAGAAATAAATCAATGAGGGGCTAATAATTCAGACTTCAACTGTGTGTAGATAGACAGACAGACAGACAGACAGACAGACAGATAGATAGATCATAACAAGAACTGCTGCTTAATTGAATGCATGTAATAGCGACACCCGGTGGTTATTTATTGAATTACGTTCATTTTTGTATAGCGGGCCAGATTCTATTGATATTTATAAAAAGCCTCGCGGGCCGCAGATGGCCCGCAGGCCGTAGTTTGGACACGCCTGGTGTACTGGAATGTACAGTATCTGTGCATCTTGATGGTGGTCTTAAGATTTCTGCCATAGTCATTGATGGTGATGGTACTTGTGGTGCTGCATTGATTTCTGAAATCTTCATACCTGCCTTTTATCCAGCCTCTTTGTTCCAAGTAATTTTTCTTCATCACGGTATAGATGTGTCTATACTGTCCCTTAATCAGATACATTTACAAAACAAAACATCACTTTAGTATAGTGCCAGGGCAAAACTCACAGGTTGTAATA